CGTCGTGGTGGTTCACCAGTCTTGTTTCTGCTCCGCGCTCCTGCGGGGTGCTTGTATCAGTGGCGCCGACGACAGACGCGCCCCAGTCTGCTACAGAAGATAACGGGTCTACCCCGGAGGGAGATGGGAGCAAAATCCGGACGACTTTGCCAACTATTCAGATCTATTTGCCCAGGAGGCTGCGGGCTTCGACCAACGCCCGGGCTTGGCGGGGGATGCTTTTGTTCGTCATGGGCGACGGGGGTTGTGTTTCCCGGGGTAATTGTGTTGTGTTCTGGGTTCACAGGTGGTCGTCGCTTTGTGAAGGGCTTGGAGAGAGGGCTGAATGAGAACGGGAACACGCTGTGCTGAGAGAAAATCGATGAAGTACACTATTGGCCATGCCCCCGGGCGTTGGCCGGTACGGACACATGTTGCAAAAAAAAAGGTAGCTACAAGCAGACGGAAGCGATACTAGAAAGAGTTTGCAGTCGATTGGCCGGCAGTGCCTTATTACCTCCATGAAATGTGTCATGGAGGTTATATTTTCAGTTGCGTTTATCCGTCCGTCCTTCTGTCTGTCTGTTGGTCAACAAGATAACTCAAGAACGCCTGGATGGATTGGTTTCATACTTGGTGTGTTGGTAGGGTGTGACAAAAACTGGAAATGATGAGATTTTGGTCCCCCTAGTGGCTTCCCTTGGTACTGCAGCGCAACTTCCGGTTTTGATATCTCGCGATCTGGACATGCTAGGGTCATGAAATTTTGATGGAAGGTAGCTCTCATGCTTGGGAAGAAGTCATATGAGTTTGGGCCCCCTAGCGGCTTGTTCTGGAACTGCAGGGCACTTTCTGGCGAAATGTTTAAAAGCCAATAAGTCCAGACAGGAACAACATATTTTCATTATTTTTGGTGTGTAGGTAGCTGAGAGAGAGATGTACATAATTAAATGTAAATTATGCAAATGAGGACTTTATTTGCATAATTAATGAGGAAATTCTATAATTACAGTTTTACATTATACTATGTAACCTAGGGCAGGCGGAACTTCAACAGATACTAATTATGCAAATGATGACCTAATTTGCATAATTAATGTGAAAATTCTATGATTTCGTAATGGTGAATGATGAGAATGTCATACTTGGGACATCTGTAAGTTAATCAAAAGTTAACATACATCACGATGCATATATCATGTTAATGCAGAGGTCATTTGAACAATTAAAGAAGAAATTTACATTTACATATCAAGATCATATTTCATGGAGGTATGAGATCTCGGAATTCTAGTTATAAAAAGGCGATTATCAGTAGTTTCATTCAAAAGTCAACTGTGCCTCTTGATTCCTAGGTTCGCTGGATCATGGAGTGGCCCACACCACTTTCTTTCCGTGTTATCTGGTCTCCTCTTGGGCCCATATACGCTTTTATATATTATATTGTTTTAATTCGCCATATAAATTTATAGATGTACAGGATGTGTTGATCTTTTGTACCGTGTATGTACAATAATGGGTGGATATAAAAATGGGTGAGTATTTAAGTCATTTTTGTTGTTACTGATAATCTTTGAACACTCCTCCAAATTTGTGCTTGATCAATATACTTTCGTTTTGCAGTGTTTCGTACTACAGCTAGATGGCACTGCAGGACAATGTCCTATCACTGCTTCACACATATGCATAGGCCACACCGTCTTAATTTTGTGGAGGACATCTGCGCGCGCATTGATTTTCGCCTGTTCTCAAAAAAAAAAAAAAAAATCACGTCCTCTGAGGCTCTGGACTGGCTCTAGGCCTGGGTAGTTCATGGTAGTTAGCAACAATTTGGAGCCGGTGGTAATTCTGGAGGATGACACCCAGGCTACCGAAGCTCCACGACTCAAGAACTCAGCTGTAGTAGTAGAAACATCCATAAATTCCGCAAAAAGCCTGTCCTATACCCCAATATGTAACGTTATCGCCGCAAATTCAGGATACCAGCTTTGCATTCCTGTGGTTTAATAGCATATCTATTTTTGGCCGGAATTTTTTTATTCACCCGCGCGCACTAGTTTGGGGGTCTTCAGAGTCTGTCATCCATAAAATTAAATCGGTGTAGCCTAACTACATCAAAGGTCAATCAGTCAGGAAAAAGTCCACACACAGCAAAGTTTGTCTTCAACATGTTTACTGACCTTAGTAAGTACAAAACGTGACACAGTCTTGTGTCGACCCCCACAAAGTGCAACATGGAAAATCGTCTTGTAACAAACTATAGAAAGAACACCAAGAACATAAGAACTCTTTCAAGACACAAGGATGGGACCTTTCTGCCAGACATTACAGAATTATTACGTATTATAATAGATAAAATACTCTGTATGTATGTAAATTACCTACGAACAAAGTTTCTGTGCCATCCTATTTTCTATGAGCCACCCTCTCCTTCTTACCCAGTTCCACCACACCCATCCACACCTCGAGGCAAAGTGGTTCAGCCTGGCTCCAACAGTTTTCTATGGAGGACTGGACTGTACCACTTCATGCCTGGGGATGGTTAGGGTGGAAGTTGGCAAGGGGGCTGTGATGTGTAGACAAACGCACCTCTGACATCTCAGGAATGTTATTTTACAGTAAGAACTGCCATTCTTGTCATAAAGTTATAAGTGTGCTGTGCTGTTCGGCGAATCCACCCCTTCACTCTTTCCTGTTGTTGCCTGTGTACCCTTGTGCTCGACGGGAGGGGGTGAGATCGGCTGACAGCACGGCACCACAGTACAGCATACATACACTGCAGTGAAGAGTGTGGAATTTGGCATTGATACATTCAGGAACAAAAATACCATGTGGTCCAAGTATGATCACGACCACACTGTACAATGATATACAGCAGAATTTTTGAGTTTAAAATAAATAACTTGAGATTGCTTCAACATACAAGTCTTGCCTCTGACGTTGGCCCAACTCGGCCGAATGTAACAATTCTGTACAGCATATACTCAGTAATGGCCCAAAATCATGGCAGCAAGTCCACACTGCCCCCCTTAGCTTCGCTGTCAACTGAGGTCTATACAAAATGAACCTATTGCATCTTCCCCTCTCTCTGTACATCTTTCCAATAAAATAAAAAGCTAGTAATGATAATCCTCTGGAATGCTCAAATTTTCTTCTCTAACAATAGCCTAACATTTGGTATGACATGCAGCAGTTGACAAAAAAACATTTATGTAGGATTTGCTACAGTTTTGATAATAACAGATGTACACAGATACAGAAGAAAAGCTAGTAAGGGCCAGTGGCGACTCAATGCAACACTCTGGACTTGACATTATCAATCCAAAATCATTTCCCTTGCAAACTAATAGCACCAGGTTGAGATAGATCCTTGCGTACTTTGTGTCAGACATCACGAGCGTTACCTCATGAAGATAACAAGTACTGAAGGTACTGTAGGTTTCCTAGGTTTTAGCAATACAGCTAATGATTCAACACATACAGAATCTAATACAGTTCCTGCCTTCATCTATAATTGTAGGGACTAAATTGTCTTTTCAATGCGCCAGAAACTTGGTCACTGACTAGAAGGTTCCTCCTAGCATCAGATAGAATCAACTCACAGGCTACGTTAGACCTGCTTCTTTTTCCATCACAATTTCGACACCTAAAAACGAGAATCTCTACCGATCTTGGAAACTGTCGCGCTACTGGTACAAGTCCTGACATGTTAAAAATAAACTGCAACATGTTTGATCTGTCCCTGTGCTTACTAACAACGTCACAGAGAATAATACACAAACTCTGCAGCGCTCCGGTCAAATACCTACTTGGACTGAAAATAAAATACTTCATTTGCAAGAGATTACAACATTTCGGACCACAATTGGTTCTCCTGTCAACTATGCTTAAAAGTGGCTATCTTTTACTTTGTAGTGGAAAATGCTTATACAGAATTTTTTCATTTCGCTTTCAGAGGCTATCAACTTGTACAAAAATAGAGAATTTTATATCCTTTTTCTTTCCACACGAGCGTACTGGTGTGCTGGCTGGCACAGGCACGTGGAGGCATTAGGACGACAATGTGCCGGCCCCAACGTAGCCAGCACGGTTCAAAGATATGTACACTCTCAATCATCCGTTGTATAATGTTTTAACTGCTAAGAGAAGTTGGGCCACACGCTTCACTCTACCTCAGTCCCAGGGAAAGGCGTTAGTTCTATGTTCTGGGCTGCCCCAGACCCCCTGGTTTTGACATCTGCGCCGACAATGGCAGATTAACGCTTCATATGTTACACTTGGGTCCACTCGTCTGAGTGAACAATGCACCCCGCACATGGAGTGAATACTTAGCTCACTCAACATCAAACTGAACACGTCCACTCTTCTAGAGTGAACACTTTGAATCTGTTCACTCCCCATTTTAACAGGAATGGCTTGCTTACCCTTAGTGACAGCTAGTTTTAACTCTCAGAGGGAACAAACCTCTGGATGATTTGTCTTGGTCGTAGCCCTGGTACTGAGGTACCCTTCACATCTCAAATTCCGTTAGCAAAAAATGGTCATGTATAATATACAGTGCAGTACTTAAAAATGTTGTACAGAGATCGGCTGTCCACCTATAAACAGCCAACAGTCCTGACGGAGCTACCAGTATACAATACACCTGGCAAAAATGGGTGTGGGAAAAGCGACACCTAGCAGATTCCAGAGGGATTCCAGGTACTTGAAGACGATTCAGCGCAGTCCGTGCACGGAATCGCAAACTCCACGGGAGCTGGTTGAACAATTCTGTGGCCCTGACGCGGCCGCTAGTCTGGAGTCCTAAAGTCAGTGGTCCTGTGCCACACACACACACGGAACCCCACCGGAATTTCCTGGAATTTTGAATCAACAACTGCTTTTTTCTTGCAGAATCGTGGATACAGGATCGTCCATTCCCTGACTTGTTGGATTTTTTTTCCGTAGTAACATCTGAGTCTCTACACAGCACAGGCTCCCGGCGGAGCGGGGAGTAAAACAGAACAGCAGCTCTCGTTCGTCAGAAATATTCGCTACTCCTACCAAAAAACCTTGTCAACGAACGTGGTTATTTAAACACGGAAACAAGTTAATAGTAAACAACTCCAATAATACTCCCATGGTCCTTTGCAACTCTGGAAAGCCTTGTACGAATTGCCGTCAATGGGACAGCGACATATGTATAATTTTACAGTTGTAAAATGGCTGGATAGTATATAAAGTCTTCATGCCTATAAGCCTTACCCTTAATACAGGCATATTCAGAATGCTTAACAATGGTAAAAGCTTCAGTAAATGTCAACTGTAAGACAATGTCAACAACTACTGGTTGGCATTCTTCCTTCATAAAAATCCCTCGAGTTTTCACCCAGCCTAGCCCTCCTTTTTTGAAGTTGACCCTTCTTTCTTTTGTAACACTTAAATTTAAACTCTTGCACACGGGCTTTTGTTGGACTTTCTCTGTCATTCCTTTATGTTACCCTGCTTAACACTTCAGTGTGAAGGCTTCCTGCAATGCAGTATTTTCGTTTTTATGTTTTCCCTATCAGGATATAATATTGCATCTTTGCCTTGTCCACATATACTTCATGCTATATCAAGTTACAAGGCCATGGCCAGTGATGCAGATATAATGACTTTTCTTTTTTACCTTGCATGATAAGATATGAATGAGCTTCGGTAGGTCCCAGGTAATCTCTCAAAGGATCATGGGATTGTGTGCCACATGGGGACGGGGTGACTACTATACTAATGATATCTACTAGTCTGGCAACCATTGTGGGGGCTCGGGGAGGTCAGACCTAGTTGCCCCACCAGTCAAAGGACTGCTGGTCATGTTGGCGCATGGCGCCGGGCGGGTAGCCTCCGTACCCCTGTGGCTGGTAGTGGGTGAACCCTCCGTAGCTGGGGGCTCCTCCGCGCTGCTGGCCGCCGCCGCGGTGCTGCTGACGGTAGTCACGGGATCCAAACCCGCCCTGGAACCTGCGAGGGAACGTGGGTCGGTTTAAGTCGACGAAGGTAGATTGCCAATTCTTGCCAATTCCTTGCCAATACTGGAGTTGCACAGTCGAAAATTTGTGTCCAATCTCTTGTTGGAAATTACAGTTCAAACTTGTTTCGTAGTTAAGCTCAGTTTAGTTCAGAAGGTGATTCGGTTTTGCTAAGTTCCTCCTGTCTAACATAACAGAATGTTATGCTTCTTACTAAAAAAGGACAGAATCCTTTAGAAGAGACAAGATTATGGACGAAACAACAAGAACTAGGTTGGCATTGTCATCACGTGTCATCACATCATCTCATCGTTAAGGTCAACAATGGTGATGTTATGTGTAAACTTAGTTAAGCATATTATTGTAAGTTAGTGTAATATGTATGATACATTGTTTTTAGTTATGATAGTTATGACCACAGTCATAAGTAATATACATTAGAAAAGGACTCCAGGAGGATTTGTGAGGTGTTTTGCATATGGAGACTCTAAATAAAACAAAACAGAAACAAGACGGACCTGTTGCGGCCTCGGTTGCGGCCGCTGCTCTGCTGGCGGCGCTCCTCGTACGCCATGGACTCCAGCCAGGACGGCAGCTCCTGCTTCGACTCGATCAGGATGTCCACAAGGTCGCGCACGACGTTGCGATTTTTGTCATTGAAGAACGAGGTGGCTAATCCTGGGTGGGTTCACATGTTGCAAAACAAATGTCAGGTTGGCTGGCATATCATAGAATGATCATGTTTTTTTATATCGTATCTTCTGTTCATAAACAATACATGAGAAACAGTAGAACTTGCAAAAAAAAACATTTCCTGAGTAGGAAGACATGTTGGCTGGTATATCAGTAGAATCATGGTATATCAGTAGAATCATTGTCAATACATTTGAGTAGTACTGACTTTTCATAACAATAGGACAACATGATGCAAGAAACAGAACGTATCAAAGAAAAAACACAGATTCGACTAATACAATTATGAAACAGGTCGAATACAAATCAAGAAAAAGAATTCAACTGAATTCAACAGAACTGATCAACATAAAAGTTATTAGGCAGTACTGCTGATAACAACACCATCTTTTCTTTAGACATTGGTATTTCTAAAAGATAGATCTCAGCAGCTGATCTTGTCTTTCCACCAATAGAAACACTGCAGAGCTCCTTACCCAGGTTGCCAACACGGCCAGTACGACCGATGCGGTGCACGTACTCGTCAATGTCGCTGGGAAGGTCAAAGTTGATCACGTGCTTCACGTTTGGGATGTCCAGACCTCGAGCGGCAACCTGGAACAGTCAACAGTGACTACAACGCACCAGGCAGTGAAGGAAGAATCACTAACTTTCACTTAGACATGGAACTTACATTTGGAGTTCAAAAATGGAATACATTTCAGTTCAGAATACTACCTGCATATGCAGGTTAAACTGGAGCTGTGCTGGTATTTCTAATGTCTACCTGCACCTTATCTGTAGTGATCCAAGATAAAACCATTGTCCAACCTGCAACAGTACAGTCACGAATTGACAGTAGCAGTTTAAGAATTGCCATGAATTGTTCTACAAGTATGTAGATGAAGTATGATGAACCATTATAATTATATGGTAGATAACTAGATTTTAAAATCGTAATGAAAATCAGCAGTGTAAGTAATTTGGCAGTATTACAAGCCCAGAGAAAGTTGAAAGGTTCGGGGATTTACTCACAGCTGTTGCCACTAAAATGGGAATTTTTCCAGTGTGGATTTATATACGAGATAACTTGATTTCAAATTGGTGATGCAAATCAGCAGTGCAGGCAATTTTGCAGGTTTTTAAAAGTATTTCAAGCCCAGAGAAAGTTGAAAGTTTCGGGGGGTTTTACTCACAGCTGTTGCCACTAAAATGGGCGTCTTTCCCGTGCGGAAAGTCATGAGAGCGTCCTCTCGCTCGCGCTGGGAGCGGTCTCCGTGGATGGACGACACCGGGTAGCCCTCCCGGTACAGGAAATCTTCTAAAGCATCAGCTCCTTTCTTCGTCTCCACAAACGTCAGGGTCAGGGAGTCGGGGCCTGGGTGTGGAGAAAAAAAGGGAGGCTAATTTTGGAAATCAATGTAACAGTGTCACATCACAGGGTGCTCCCCATCTCCCCAAAATCCTAGCACCTCTCCCAAAATGTTCAAATTTTGGGTTTTCTCTTAGTATTTTCAAGAAAATTTGCTGATTTTTCATCAATCAACTAGGGAGCACCCCTCTCTTCAGAATTTTCAGCGAGACCCAACATTTTCTTGACCAAATCAGCCTCGAAAATACAAGTACTGGAGCCACTATGGCCACATATGACTATTACTTGACTTAGAAGTAATTCTGAAAGATCTACAATGAGAATTAACTTCATATGGCATTCATAAATCTTTTGTTACACAAAATCTTTTGAATCTTACTTAAGTAACGTTGTGATGTGTGCATTTGTGATGGTTATGGCTTGCTGCAGAGCCGAGAAAAGGCTTGGAAAAAAATCCAATGATCACCGTAAATGCAGTCTAGGAATTCAGTAGCATGCAACTACTACTACAACTGGATGATTGTACCAAAGCATGCACAGGAAGACTTGCAAGTGGGTGGGTCACCAGGTTATGGTAGGACTGCTGTATAAGTTTGGGAATGTGTGAATGGCATTCCAATGAAACCAGAGGAGCTGGATTTTCAAGAAAAAGGCATAGAGAGCCCTGTGTTCAGGCTGGCTAGAACACTGCCCAAGTCACCACTACAAACTTGCCTAGTAGGAACCGTTGCAAAAGATTTCCACCACAACTGAGTGGCACATTTTGCCAAGTCACCGTAACAGATTTTGCTCTCTCTCACTATCCAGGATTTATCATTCTTATGCTCAAGAAAAAGTTATGGGGATTTACTCACAGCTGTTGCCACTAAAATAGGAGTCTTTCCTTTTCCCTGAAGAAAAACTGTTCAAAAGATTTTCACCAAAAACCACGACCAAGCCACCGTCGACCCACTTGCAAGAGACCTTCCCACCAAAGACGGAAGAAAATAAGGAAGCAGCGTGGCGCTGGGTGTGTACATACCCTTACCTGTGGCGTTGAGCAGGTCGAGCAGGAAGGACCGTTTATCCTGCTCGTCCACCCACACCACTTTCTGTGTGATGTTGTCACTGGTGCTGCCCACGCGGCCCACCGCCAAGAAGATGTAGTTGTCCAGGAAGTCACGAGCCAGCATCTGTTATAACAACAAGGCAAGACAAACTTAGTAACAAAACTAGAAATGTAACATTTGCAAAGCAAATGCATTATGTTTACCTTTGCATATGATCTGCTCTGTTAATTCTTACTCAAACACATTCATCTATATGGTGGCAAGGTATATGGTGGCAAGAGTCTAATTCCCTCCTACTATAAAATTGCAACATTGCGTAACCCAACACCAGTTACCATGGTGAGAGACTGTCTGGTTCAGGTCATTGACCATGTCAGAGGTCAGTGTTTGGACCAGAAGAAGAAACATAGCAAAAACAATGTTTTACTTTGGTAAAGATGAAAAAATTGTATGGTTCTCAGTGGCAAATGCACAGATCTTAGAACATTGGCTGCAGCAAATGTGTCTGTGCCTGCAATAATATTTGGACACAATATCAACCTCACTCCACTGTACAGGGAGGGAAATTGTGCCTTTCCCAGGGGCACAACATCAGTTGAAGGTTTTATATTGACATTGCATATGTAAGAAGTCTCCTGAAGAACAGAATGACGTTGTACCTGGATTTCCTTGGGAAAGGTGGCCGAGAACATCATGGTGCGACGTTTGCCGGTGCCCGGCATGGTGTCCTGCTCCACGATGCGCCGGATCTGTGGCTCGAACCCCATGTCCAGCATGCGGTCAGCCTCGTCCAGAATCAAATACCTGAGGGGGGAGGGGGGGCATGGAGTTATGGCAATGGTACAGTATCATAGATATAATACAAAAACTTTCACAGTAACACTGTCACTGAATTGCAGACATTGTTAAAAACTTGCACATTATACATTAAGTAACAAACAATAATCATTTATTAAAACTTTACAAGGAGACATAACACAAAGCACCAGAATTCCACCAACTGCCATACAAAAATCGTGTACGCTTCAAATAGTTCTGGTGTAACAGTTTGAAATAAAAACTATGTATATGAATATGTAAGTCAATATTCGTTTCAAGTCATCACTAAAAGTCAGGGAAGATATATCTACAAAGCCTAAGCCACATTTCAGAAAAAAAAAACTAGGGAAAGCTAGTTCTGGTGATGTTTTATCCATTCTGCTCTATCTGTGGTGGTACTTACTTGATGTAGTCCTAGCCACTGGACAACACATCATTATCATCATCACACTTCACATGCTACTACAAAAGACAGAAGTGCTGGTGATGTATCAGACTTACTTGATGTAGTCCAGGCCGATCCTGCCCCGTTCCATCATGTCCACCAGCCGGCCGGGCGTGCCCACCAGCAGGTGACAGCCTCGCTCCAGGTCACGCATCTGACCTCCGATGTCCGCCCCTCCGTACACCACGCACGGGCGCACATGGGAACGGTACGCAAACTGGGGAGAACACAACGTGTCAGAGTCTACAGTAGCACATGGGAACGGTACGCAAACTGCCAACAACAGAACATGTCAGAGACTAAGGACAATGTTTGTGTGTGGATGTGAATGAGGTACTTTCTATACAAGCACACCTGCAACTTTTCACATTCATAAAGAAGCCAAGAAGTCACTCAATCTGATGCCTTTGACCCACTGTTGACGTCATACTTCAGAGAAGCCATGTGACAAGTCTCACTAGGGCAGTCTACTGAGGAAGGCCAGAGTGACTGGTCGAAATCTCTAGGTAAGAGAACTTTCTTGTGTTGGATCAAAAGTTTTAAGTCTGAACAAGAAATCATTTCCTTTTCTGTTCCAGGTTTGCCTCCAAATGTTTAAATAGTCTAGTACGAACTTTCTGATTTTAATGCATCTTATCAAAATCATCTTTAAGGTGTAGTTTCTTACCTTCTTGGCTTCGTCGTAGATCTGTGAGGCGAGCTCACGTGTGGGTGCCAGCACCAGGGCCAGGGGGTATCGCTTCCTGCTGCCGCTGCCTCCGTACTGACGGCCATGCTGGAATAACACCAGGGTTATGAGCAAGGGGGTCGTACACTGTATCTACACTACCTTAACTTCAACTAGAAAGGTAACATTTGCAAATCAAATGCATAATGTTTACCTTAGCATCATCTGCTGTTAATTCTTACTCAAACACATTCACATATATGGTGACAGGAGTCTAAATCCCTCCTGCTATAAAATTGCAACATGATGTAACACAACACTAGTTACCCGGTAACCGTTTCTGTCAGTGACCTGGGCCAGACAGTGACACTGTCTGACCCAGGTCATTGACGTTTTGGGTTTGGAGAAGAGGAAACTGAGCAAAAACAACATTTTCCTTTGGTAAACATAATAACCTCTAGGCCTTCTGGTTTAACAGTCAAAATGATATACACACATATACCACAAATACACAAATGGTCTCTGATCTACTACAACTTACATTCCATACTTTCAATACTAAATAAGAGGACAGCATTCCAGTGTAACAATCATCTTTACTAATTTTTCTACAAGGGATGTATCTTACCTGTGGCAGTCCCTGAGGTCCGTTCTCATAGATGAGGCTGAGAATGGGGATCAGGAATGCTGCAGTTTTCCCAGAGCCTGGTAGGGGGAACAATTACAGCTTGAACATGATGTAGTGCAAAGTTATAAGCACATCGCATTCAAGCTGATGTCTTGACTATGTTCTTGATTAGTCAGAAGAGTGATGTCTTGTGTGCTTGCTCAGAAACAGCCTCTATTGTCGTCTGTCCACATGTGGATTCAGACAGCAGTTGGACAAATTCTCATCATGGCAGCAGTTTGCAGCATGTATTGTAAGACGAATTTAACTGTACATATTGCTGTCAACTTGTCAAGAGAAGTTGCAGACAGAAGGTCTACGTACCGGTCTGTGCACAGGCCATCAGGTCTCGGTTAGCCCTAGCGATGGGGATGGCATACTTCTGCACCGGGGTGGGCTTCATGTAGTTGGCCAACTTGATGTTGTTACTGATGATCTCACCCAGGTCCAGATCAGTGAACTATGGAGAAGACACGAGGGATCACATCTTCTGCTTGGCATTGGGATTCAACTTCAAGATTTGAGAGACTTAAATTCTGTTACTAGCGTATAACAGTAGCTTCTGATCCAGTGAGACATTAGGTTGTCCTTGACAATTTGTACCGACAATTTTGCCCGATAGTTGCAGTGCTAAGGTTTCTTTAACTTGTCGAACTATTCTACTTCTTTATAGTATCTGATCAACCGGAAAATTTTGCATAGACTGTTTTCACTCTAGTGTTTGACATGTAAATATAGTCTCTTACGGAACTATTGTCATGTCACACCACAATTCAGCCATTCTGGCTGCTGGGTTTGCGACAGAGTTAAAATAATCCATTCATATACTGTAGTAACAGTTTCCATGTAAATGTTCGCCTCTGTAAATATTCCCACTATGGCCAGCTTTCTTGCATAGCTTTTATACCATTTTCAAACCTGATCATGCCTACCTCAACAATGTGCTGTGGACAGCTCTCTCCTGTAGCCTCCACAGGGATGTCCTCATACTTGTCAAAGTTGATGCCCGTGTTGCTCTTTCCAAACAGCTCCCTGAAACAAAGCAGACATGCATGAAATGCACACATTTTTAAAACAAAACATCTATATGTGCAGTAAACATCACTGTATAGATGTTGCAAATCCCCAAACCTTTAAGTTAACTCTGCTCTTATTAGCTCTTGTCCTGATGGCATTTTTACACAGTATTTTTCAATTATTTCATGTCTTGATCAGCTCATAGGCTCCTGACTTTTTTTTGCCCTATGGTGGCATAATTACTTCTGCATTCGTTGCATTTCACTGCGGCGTGATGCGTTGCACGAGAAATACCACCAAATCATACCTATACATATATGGATATGAATGGTACCGTATATGCAACCCAACAATTGTTGGGAGCGGTTAAGGACTAGGGTTAAGTTATTACCAACAAGCTAGAAAAATGACAAAGTTCCGGTACCTTTCCATGCGCTCGTTGCGAGGCAGTGGCTTGCTCCAGTCAGCGTCCTCAGGCGGGGGGTAGTTGTCCCCACCGGCCTTCCGATCGTCGCGGCTCCAGCGGTTGTTAGACGGCTGCTCATTGCTGCGGTCCCAGCGGTTATTCATCCGCCCGCCATCCCACTGGTTGCCGCCACCAAAATTGCGGTTGTCCCTCCCACCGAAGTTGCGGTTGAACCCCCCGCCGCGCCCTCCCTGGTTATTGTACGGACGGCCGCCTCCGCGCCCGCCGAAGTTACCGAAGTTCTGCTGCGGGATCCCGGCATTCACAAAAGGAGGCGGGCCCGCAAAACCTTCATAGAACAGAAGAAGTCAGATTAACATCTTCAAACAGCTGAATTTTCTGTGTTCAAACATGCATGGGGGAATGGTGGTCGAGATGGGCTGCACAAAATACAATGAGAAAAAAATCTAAAAGAAAAGACGCTGGAGCATAACAGAGACTTGCACAGAGCATAAATAGATACCAAAGATGTGCTAATGATGCACACTGAACTTGTTGATAATAAAAGACAACCGAACTCAGGTTACATAATGTGAATTCCTTGTGCTTTTTTTTTACACAAGGGGTTTCCTAAGCAAGAGATACAGAAGCAAGATGAAAAGGAATAGCAACACTATTGCTACCTTTGCTATGATAATAGCTAGAACAAACCTATGGCAACAATCACCCACCACTCTCACCAAGTTCACACTGTCTAAAACAAGACTAGTAAACAGTCCTATTCCTTGTTTATCCCATGTTCTCCCACCACTTTCACTCTCTACCTGGTTACATAACATCCAGCCTGTGCTGAGTCATGTTTAGTTCACTCCACCCAGAAAGAGCAAGCATGCACTACGTTCGCTCTCACCTCTGGGGCCCCCGAAGTTCCCAAAGTTGTCACGGCGTTGGAAATTCTGGAAGTTTCCACCGCCGTACCCCGGGATCGCCCCGTTGTAGGCACCGAAGCCCCCATCACTTAGATGGGGCGCACCGCCATAGCCAGAGTCTAACATTAAACACAGAGCCCAGACTTACTGTGTTGGTAACCGAAGTCAAGTCTAACTATGCTACGACTGCTACGACAGTGTTCTCCCCAGACTATGTAGAGTGAGCACACTTCACTGTTTAATGGGGGAATTTCGCCTAGTACTGAGTTTCCAGTCTGACATTTCTATATGGCACAAACGATTGGACTCTAGTTCTAACTGACAGAAAACCTCTTATCTTGTAGATCAACCAATGATGCCATTTTGAGATTAAAATACTGTCTATACTTCCTTTGTAAAATTTTTTCATGGCCTTTCACTCTATGCCATTACTAGGGAGAACGCTGGTTCTCATACATATCATAGCACAAAAAAAATATGCCAACATTCAACATTCAGTTACTGAACACCACTGTACCACTTTTCACAGTTGTGTATGAAGAAATGACAACATGAGAAAAGGGAGACAAGGTAAAAGAGGAAACCAAAGGACTACGACTTTTCAAATAATTTTTATAACTTCTAATTCGAATTTATAGATAGCTGTAATTTTGCTGGCTTCATGCAGGCATTGTTTCTGCAATTATTCAAATTTGCTTTAGAATCTTATGCTGACAGATTCAATCAATTTCCCTTATCCCTAGTAAGAATCCCCTAACTTTGATTTCTCTATTATTGCTAAATGGTTATGTCTCTGAATTCTGCAGTGAAATTTCTCTCCTTCAAGCCTACACAAAAAGTTATTAAAAAGCCAGCATAACTAGTAAAAGCATCACACATATGATCTACTTGATCATGGTGCATTCCTAATGTTTGGCCTAGCTAGAGGAAAGATTTGATAAAAATTCCAGATTCAAAAGCTGAGCTGATAGCTGATTCCAGATCCCATCTAATCAATCCTTTGCTTTCCATTTAGAAATTAAGAAAAAAATAAAAATCAGTTCATTAGACAGTGATCAGAGACACACACAGACACACCACACAAGTTATCACAGCAAAAACAGCCACAGTCACGCAAAGCAAGCCTAACAAATCGTATTGCAGGAAAAAAACATCACTTACAAAAAATCAGACAAACAAGATTTAAAAGCTTCATGATGATGATGACATATGTTATGATTATGAAGATGATAAACAATCAAACATGGTCAACATCTACTCACCCGAATACTTTTCAAGACTATGCATAAAGATATTTCAATTTTGATTCTGTCAGGATCATTAGGAGATTCAGGATTCCAACTGCATATGTCAAAGAAGAGGAATTGTCAAACGTAATATGTTGAAGGCCCCTGAGACAAACATAATATACCTGGCCATGATATAAAGCATGGTCTAGACAAGAAATCAGGGACCTTCATCTTTGAACTTGTTCTTAAAGATATGCAGTAGGAACCCTGAACCTGCTTATTCTTGAGAATTTTTTTGTAATTCGTAATTTGAAATTGAGTGCAAGGAAAGAGATAGCTCATTTTAGGACTATGTTTTTTTTTCATGGTGCTAGTTTGATCTAGGCTGGGAGAAACACCACACCACCGGCGCTTACCGGGACGGTTGTACCCGCCAGAATTTGGGGGACCAAAATCGTTGGTCTGACCACGGTTCCGCACATGAGGAGGAATGTACCTTCCCTTATTGACTGCAACAAAAAAAAGGAAAAACAAACGCACGATGAAGTGCTGACGTAGAAAAACTAAGAAAGTGTGGACTAGTACCTTGTCGTTGGGCGTTGCGCATCTGTGGAGGAACATAGCGCTCTAAAGGGCAGACAGAGAGGGTCAAACATCAAGTTGTTAATGATAACGTCATGTTAAAGCATAGGAAGGGCAAAGTATCCACTCCTGATATCATTCCTTGTGGTTGAAGACTAATGCCTTTTCAAGCGCTTAAGGAAAAAAAGTTTAGTCATGCAAATTGACAGTGCTGCTTTTCATTTCAAAGTTTCAATCTAAAAATAGCAACTGAAGCATTTGTTGAACGCATGCTGTTTCTATGCATGTTGCTGCTGCTATTTCAAAGGTGACTGCATGCAATACGATTATACAATGTACACAAATGGTTGCCTAATAAAAGCACCCATTGTAATGTTGATACTCGATTCATTGTGTTTTCGTTTGTCATTTGAATTTCAACAGATTGGCTTGGCTAATTGCACCTGAAACAATCATTAGCATAACAATTAATTTACATAAAACGCATGCTAAAACATGGCTTCAGGCGCAGTTTGGCAGTCAAACAGTTCTTTTACATAAAATTGCTGAAAACGTTTGTCGGTTACGACTTACTTCCTCCGCCGGCTCCTCCCTGCCCAGGAGCAGCGTTCAAGTCTAGGCCAGCCAACTGCAAACACAAAACATCAAACATCAGGAAAACAGTTGTACACCTTACAGGGAGGAAAGATGGCCATACAGTTTGGACTAGCATAATTTATGGGGGCTATATTACGATGGATACAAGGCTATTTTGTCCTTGATTTATTACAAAAGTTTTGTGTGCTTGCTCAGAAACAGCCTCTATTGTCGTCTGTCCACATGTGGATTCAGACAGCAGTTGGACAAATCCTCATCATGGCAGCAGTTTGGACGATTGCGAGCAGCGCAATTGGTGTGCTTTCTTGATATTTCAGAAAAAAATTATTCTTTTCGCAGTCTTGGTCAAGTTTTAGGAAATAAATGGCAGGTATGAATGGGCACACTAAAGACTGGATGTCTTGTACATTTCCTGTGAGAAATTAAGGGCTTCTAACATTCTTAGATAGATACAGTCATCATAGGTGGGGGAACTACTCAGAATGTATGACAGTATCTTAAGTGTACACTGTCAACAAATTACACAGTTGGATGACGTTTAAATTATGATGATTCACTATGATCATCAACTGAACAATTCGGAGTTTCCTATGAGCATGACTGGAAACAAACAAAAAAGTGTGACGTAAATAACCTAGTGCTGTAACTTTCCTGTCGTTTTGATGAAATCAAAGCATTTAGAAAATGGAAATTAATGTCGTAGGCTACTATGTAGCTAAATAACTGACCTACATATCAGGCATTTTCTGAAGTATGTATAAACGTGTGAAATTCTACGTTGTACGAAATCTGTCAGTCTACTTGGACTCGACTCCGTTACACACTGAATAAAGAAGACAGCTTTGGATACGATTTACAGTGGCAAAATTTGAATGACTGAAGTCCAGAAATGTTGGACTAGATACGATGACAACCCACGTGGCCCGGCGTTTGGGCCGATCAACCAACCAGCCATGCGTGGAGCCGGCGTCTACAGACGGACCGGCCCGTCTCGATTTTTTGCCATCGCAGACAGAAAAGGCCAGGCAGAATAAATCTAATAATAGTAAAGGTATAAGTTATAGTTTCTACGTATATAAAGGACAGGGGCTTCGCCACGGAGGACTGAATAGGGTAAATCGCAGCGAGAAAATGTTACCAATGGCGGACGATTTTTACCATCGTATCCATTTTTGACAAATCGAGAAGAGAATGAACCGGCAAAATTTTGAGCGGCGGAGAAAAATGTCTTCTGCCCCGTCAAACCCCCCCCAAAGTTGGCCAAAACGTAGCCACATACCTGCTGATCTAGACTAGGTCCATTTTGTCTTCCATCATGACTCATAACTAGAAAATATCGTGGACGATTTTCTCCTTAAACTATCAGTGAACTGAAATTTTCTGAAATGGTCTAACAAAAGATGGTGGCATCGGAAACTACTTATACCATCGGCCTCTGACGTCATATCTGATCACATGGTCTAAATAAAGACTGCTGATTGGCCAAAAATTCCAACTGGGTAAAAGGTTACAGAAAAATTGTCAAAATTCGTAAAATATTTTAAGGAAAAAATAATTTTTGCACAAATAAGCTTTTTCATTATAATTTAATGACAAAAATACATCAATTCGAGCAGAAACAAGCTATTCAGAAAAAAGTGAAAATCTTGCATAGGTAATTACATCCGGGTATCTTTCTCTTTCCCAGTGTCGGCCATCACGGTGGGTAAAAATTTTGAAGATATGTGTATTCCATCCACCATCATCTCCTCTTATACACATTCTCCAAGATCGAAATTATTACCATCTAGTAGTAGAAATCATAAAGTATTAAGATATATAGTTATTTATTGCTTAAACCCCCTTTGTGAATCTTTACATGTACTACTTTGTGACTACTGAAACAGAGAAGAACTTGTAAAGTGTATGACAACATTCAACGTGGGTTGTGGGAGGGGGGTGAAGTCAACTTGGAAGCCCTGCCATCATTTTCTGTACATTCTTAGGTTATGAAACCTGAATACCTAGTTGCTACGTAGGACTATCTTGTGAGCTATCCTAAATATTGAAGGTTTTCTGGTGTAAGACTTGGTATAGGTAAGCTGGACAGGATGTGTCACTAAATTTTATAAAATATATGACCTGATGCTAGTGGTTCACACCATGAAAAGAATCCATTTTTGACATAGCCAGATACTTAAAATTCCTCTTTCAAGAAGATATATTATTTTTTTAAATTCTTAAGCACCCCCTCCCCCTCATATCTCAATGGGGGGGGGCTACAGAACTTGAAGGTGTTGAAAAGGAAATGTAAGTGGAAGGAATATTTGGTTCCTGAACTCTCACTTTCCTTTGCAGTCTCAAGATGGGACGTGTGATCCGAGGACAGCGTAAAGGTGCGGGTAGCGTCTTTACTGCCCACACGAAACATCGCAAGGGGGCTGCCAAGCTCCGAGCTCTCGACTTCGCAGAGAGACATGGATACATCAAGGGTCTAGTCAAGGTAGGCATTAGTAGGCATGATTATGAAGCTTGTAGAAATACCTGGTGAAAGATATTAGAAACTTCATTTTAAGGACAAGATGGACATGCTTAAAGTCCATTGATTCGGTTTCGAGTATGTTGTCTCAAAAAAAAATGTTTTGGGCCTAAAATGAGATTTTGCACCAATTTGGAAGTGCATACTGATGATATATTTTATTTAGCAGGTTTCTATAATGTGTATAACATTTATTTGATTCTAAGCCTAAGCTTTTGATAAACAACCATTTTGACTACAGGATATCATCCATGACCCTGGCCGTGGAGCCCCTCTGGCCAGAGTGATGTTCAGGGATCCTTACCGGTACAAGAAGCGCACAGAGACATTCATCGCTGCCGAGGGCATGTACACCGGCATGTTTGTGTACTGTGGCAAGAAGGGTAGGTAGCTGCTATTCTGTGTGTGTTGCATGATTTTGAATGAATGTAGTGTACAACGCTAAACCATGTCATGTATATGAGGAGAGTAGAGTAGAATCTTCAGCCTGGTAGGACATCTGTCCAGTTTGGACTGCTCATTTTTATGTCTCGTCTAGCCAACCATCATGGTGGGTTTTTGTGCTTGGTGAAGTATCCCGTGTGTATGTGTGAGTCAGTTTACAAACCCTCCAATGTTCAAGCCAAAAGACAGTGGTGTGTAGTGCATCAACAATGGCATGGTGATTTTGTTGTGCTCTTGATGGTAGCTTCTTCAGTGTCTTTGCTGTTCTCACTTTGTGGTTCAAGTGTTGCTGTGATGCAAAAGATTTTGGTTGGCTTGAAGGGTTAGCTATAGTCTGCTCTTTGGCATTATTTTAGTGAAGAGCCTGATGGCGAATAGACCATCCTTCAGACTAGGCTTCAAACCACTGCACATGAAAGAACCCAACACACTTATCAAGCAGAGGAAAGATGAGGGGTGACCTTTTGTGCTTGGCCAAATTATAAGAGCATTATTTTTCCTATCTGTCACTTAATGACCAAAGTTTTTGCATCTCTCTTCCAGCTATCTGAGAATATCTCGCAAAGTTAGCATGGATAAAGAAAAAATGAACTGTTGATATTTGCAGCTGATATTTTTGTGAATTTAATGTGTTTGATGTAATCACTTTGCAGCCATCCTGAAGGTTGGAAACACCCTGCCTGTGAGTCAGATGCCTGAGGGGACCATCATCTGTAACGTTGAGGAGAAGGGTGGGGACCGTGGTTCTCTGGCCCGCTGCTCCGGAAACTACGCCACCGTCATCTCACACAACCTGGAGGCCAAGACCACCCGCATCAGACTGCCATCTGGATCCAAGAAGGTGGTGGCATCTGGCAACAGGGCTACCATCGGTGAGCAGGGTGTTTCGTTTTTTCAGCTTGTACCTTTGGTAGCAGATATGGCAAGAGAGGAAAATTCAGAATAGCTGCTGACTATGTCAGTTCACAAAGTAGTCACAGTCTTCAACTGTAACTTGTCCGACCATAATTCACCCTCAGGAACCCTTAAAATGGAGTACCCCAAAAAGATTATGTAAACTGCTTGTCCCACGTTCATGTTCTATATGTAAACTTTGCATCCTTGTGTGATAGGATGTCTTCACAAATGTCAGGTTTGAAAACTACATTGGTAGAAGGGAGCATAAAGTAATGAATGTCACCATAGTTTGTATCTTAATGGAATCCTCTTGACTGCAGGTATTGTTGCTGGAGGTGGACGTATCGACAAGCCTATGCTGAAGGCAGGCAGGGCGTACTTCAAGTACAAGGCCAAGAGGAATGCCTGGCCACGTGTCCGTGGTGTGGCTATGAACGTAAGTCTTCCATTAATAAGAGTTCAACTTGATGGACTGTGTCTATTTTCATACATGTCCTATTACTGTCTACTACATTGCATTTTGACTTAAAAGAAACTTTAGTGCTTCACAGTGAAAATTGTTAAATTTGAATGCTTTTTCACGTAGTTTCCGTAGTTAGAAAAGCTCAAAATCTCGTATGCTGGGCTTCTGAATCTAAAGGAATAAGTGGTATTTTATGGACTCGTTTGCATGGTTAGGAATATGGAAACCAAATAATTTATACAAGACAAACCAGTATGTATTCACCACGTTGTCAAGATAACCTGCCGTTTGCCCCCAACATTACCTTTACTTTCGTGATCTGTAAAATTGTCTCTAACCAAGAACAAGATAACGTTAAAACTGATTGAATTTCTCTTCTCTTCTTCCCCCCAGCCTGTTGAGCATCCCCACGGTGGTGGTAACCATCAACATATCGGTATGCCCTCCACCGTCCGGAGGGACACCTCCGCTGGTCGTAAGGTCGGTCTCATCGCTGCCCGCCGTACCGGCCGTCTGCGCGGTAGCAAGGCCACGGAGAAGGACTAGACAACACCTCTTCACATTCTGCAATTACCTACAGGGGAAAATAATAATAAAAAAACTACATGCCAAATACTGTGTCTGTTTATCCTTTGTGTCAATTTGTCTGTTAAGAATAGCTGTATGTAAGGTTAGTCACAGTGGGTGAAAATACCACAGTCATATGCAGGTAGGTTAGAGTCAATCAAGTATTTCTGATGTCCACCTGCACCTCATCAGCACTGGTATATAAGTGTCAGATGATACTGCCAGTTTGTGTTACTCTACAGTCATGACAGCCTCATCCCTGTCAGGCTAATGATAGGATAATAAAATAAAACTTGAAGTAAATTGGTTCAAATGTTTTTCGTTATGAAGCATTCCTCAGGCATTTTACCAAAATTTCACCTGTCAAGGGGTCACAATACTTGAGAAATGGAAAGGAAATACTTGTATGTGGTTTAGTCTTGTCACAGCTGGCTTGTTTGTTGTCACACCTAACTGTTCTGTGAGGTGTGTAGCATAAGTACATGCATGTGTGCACACTGGGAGAAGCGAAGGTATGCAACCGAGTGAGCAGAGATCAGGACATAACAGGCCACGGCCTTCTTTCCTGGAAGACGTATCAAGGTATCAAGGTATGTGTGGACACGTACATTGCAAATCTTGAACATGGCAAGGGCAAGTGTATGAGACGTTAATACTAGAAGGTATGCAAGCTTAAGGAAAAAGCATTGGCCTTGAAGAGGGTTAGATCATTGTAGCGAAATGTGCTTGTGAAATAAGAAAGTTGGGAGAAAAGAGCTCTGATCTGAAAATTTGGTGGCCTACCCACACTGCGGTACGTAAAGCATATGCTAGATGGCGCTGTTGCAACGTTGGCCAAGATGACAAGACTGCTGGCACATGATCGAAGACAAAACGGAAATTCATCTTAATTCATCTCATAAATGATATGTATAGTAAAGTTGTAGATTACCAGTAGATAGAAAAGAAATGTTACAGGGAAGAGAACATATTTTATGTTCACCACATTAATTGTGATTGTCTGATAGTGAAAGCCAATGCAAGATCATAAAAACATCCAGAAGCCCTTGAAGTTAGAATAATCAAGGAGGTTCGAAAAGAAATTATCCATGATAGATGACAAAAAAACAACAACAACATACCCCCATTTCTTTAGTGCACACAACTGCGTGATCTTGTACTGAAATACATACCATGCCGTCGCAGGTACACATTTCCAGGTGCCCCTGCTATTTCCAACTAGCGCTTCCGCCGCATGATTGTTTACCAACGAAAGAAAAACATGGGAAACGGGATACCGACTACAAGACGTACAGTGAAAGAAAGTTAAATCAAACTGACACGTTTCTATTCTCTGTAGGCAGGAATCTTAAAAGTGAAATCCAATGACGTCAACAACGTTTATTTCTGTGCCACAGAATGGGGGATCGTCATTTATCGGAGATCTGTGGCTGAATTAGCCTGATGATACAGACATTGTGGGAAAAATTATGGTTCATTTTCTATTGCCCATTTTACGTGAAGTGATCCGTAGAGGCACTTTTTAATCTACTAGAATAATGTCAGGTCGTTCTTGTTGTCGAGACAGTTGATCTCGGCATTCATAATTGATGAAATCTACGGGATAATCATTACGTCTGAACTGTGTTATGATCAGTCGCCAACGCTGTACGGATCACATTGGATTATTGTTACGATATCACATCATATCATATCAGTGCGCTCTCGTGATATGCAGAAACGAAAGTATTTCTTTTCATTTTTGTTTCCTGTTCACGTAACGTTTTCTGTGTTGACTCATAATCATACTTTCTTTTACTTACTGAACATTTCGTTTGTATATGTTTTCAGTAAACCCCTTTTCAGTAAACCCCTTTTAGAGGAAAAATTCAGCGCAGCCAGAAACCGTCCGTCCCAATATCCATGGCGCATTTAAAAATGAAGGGTTCTAGAATTCTGAGGTCGGTCTTCTGAGTATTGCCCTGTCGGATCTGCCTTTTAGACTTGTAAATATCTGATTGTCTGCATTTATTTTCATCTATATTTCTTATGTAACTACAACAACGTTAACGTAACTCGTGAGGAATTAGTTGACGGTTCTTCTCTAGCTGTATCAATGTTTTCTCTTCCTTCCATATCACCCATATTCAATAGGACGCGTTTGGGCGAAACATGTCCATGTCGACGTCCATGAAATGTCCATAATTTACAGACGATCGACGGAATTTTTAAAAATCTTTGCATTTTTTTTCTGTACTGATGATGAGAAACATGCTAGTGCTTTAACACCTGAGCGGCATGCCCAGACATGCCTTCCATACATCGCCTGCGTGTCGGATGAATGTGTAATACTGCGACAGGTTGTAATGCTCTCTTAATTCCGCAAGGACCTCATTTTGGCGCGATCCCAACACAGAATGTCACTCGGCATTACACACCACTGGTCTACCGATTCCAGCATTTTGTGGAAGCAAGGAGTTTTCAATAAAGATAAAGATGGAAAGCGGCAAACTGTGTCACAACAATGTTCTGTGTACAATTAATATTATACCTCATCAATAATGATACATCACGTAAAAAAAAAGTAGCCTCTACCAGGCTAGCTTCGGGAGGAAGCTGGAAAGAGTAGAAATCAGGCGGAGCTTCGGGAGCGGCAAACTGCTCTCTCCAGCAGACAAACTCCCCTGGCATGTTATCTCTCTATTTGGCCGATTTCTACTCTTTCCAGCCGCCTCCCGAAGCCCGGTAGAGGCTATAAAAAAGTACGAAACGCGCTATGAAATATGCGTAAAATGTGCGTCCTAAAAGACCTAAGATATGCTTTGCAAAACGTTTGACATCAATTTAACACCTAACACATTAACATTTCGTTACGGCAATGTGACCAAAGTGGCAACAGATAATTTTTTTTTCGTGATTTAACGTTATACAAGTTATCGGCAGATGATATGGAAGATAAACAGAACGTCTTCGTAACGCCACAGGCCTCATTTAACCGTTCGGTAGATAAGAAGATGAAATTTAGATTAAGGACGGAAACATTCTTTATTACAACATCGTTTTTGTCGAACTACTTTTCATTTTAGTATCATACCGTTTCATCTTTTTGTTTTCCATAGGTTGTAAGACGGTGTTTACTATGAGTCATTTAATTGCAGCTAGCTAGGGATTGTGCCCGCACTCAGAGTACCTCTCGTGGGGATATAATTAGAAGGGATTTTCGTTGTCATTCGTAGACCCTACCTCGTGCCTATGAAATCATCCAATTTTCTATGTGGCAATTTCCATATCGCCAGATCTGCCCAGTAATGTTTATATTTCTGGTTCAATCTTTGTGCAACTTCGTGTCAGTTCTTTGTCGTTATCCAGTGTCAGTCTCTTTCCTTTTTCTTGAAGTAACAACACAAGACGATGTCATGACTGTCACTTGTATCTGAAGTCATAATAATGACGTGTTGTTGAGGCCGGAAAATCGAAGGAATCTCAAGATTTCTCAAAGTCTTTCGGTTCTCAGATAGTGTCACCAATCTTGAGATTTGAAAGGGCAATGATCAACGGTGGAAAGATATTTCATTTTTACCGATTTTCAAGGCTATGATACATGGAAAAGCCGGTTGTTTGTCGGTCTCATCTTCCTCATAAAAAGTCTATTGAGAAACAAATGTCTGGCAAAAATACTAAGTTGGTGGAATTTTGTCGTCTAAAAATGGTCAAAAGAGCTCAAAAGAAAGATATAGGAACACAACTGTGTGTTTTTATCTTATCATTGGGCAGATATCCAGTTGTCTACAATCGGTTCGCAAAATTGACATTTTGACAAAGACGATCCTCCTCGGAAAGTTACTTGTTTGGCTCTTGCTCTACTACTGGGGAGGTCCCCTACCCAGCAGTCTGTGCGCGAGCTCCTCCCAAAGACGTCGGTTTGTGAATGGGTCGCGGGCGTCGGAAGTCGAAATTCCCTTGATTTTTTCTACCGGACGACAACTCAAGCGGGGTTGGAACATGATTCAGGGACCTATGGACCCTCGGTGACCTGAAACATCAAGAAATTCCGGCGGTGAGCGGAAGGGAGAGACAAGAGAGCCACGGAAGTTCATTGGTACCTGACTGTCGGGGAGCCCTGCTAACACAAAGATGGCGCTGGCCAGCCTGGATGACATAGATCTTCAGAGTTTGAAGGTAAAATATTCCCCTAATCTATCGTCCCAAAAACGTACCAGGAAGGGGGATCCACAGGGTAAACCTTCCACAAGATGTTGCCGTTTTGGGTTTCGAAGATCGATGTTTTTGTAAGGGATTTTCAGACGGGAAAGTATTCGTCTACCACGCTGGGATATGACAACAGATGGGAAATGTTTTGACAAACAACAGCCAAAAACATGCCAGCTATCCTGGCCCACCGTTCCTATTCACACCTTCTCGACTTTACGGCGACTCTCGGCTACCGTTTTTCGAGTCCGATTCCATTTTTTTCTTTCTCCCGCAGGACCCTGCCGGCATATTTGAGCTGATCGAAGTGGTGGGAAATGGGACCTATGGACAAGTGTACAAGGTAAGACGGCCCTGCCGACTGACCAAGGAAAATCGTGAAGAGTTTTACAATCAGCTGTGTTCCTGTCGCCCCCCCCCCCTTCCCCTGTCATGTCTGTCTAGCCCTCTAGCAGTCAGGCAGAAACACAAACAGGGAGAGCGACATGCTTGGTTGTTTTGCTGGGGACACCCCAGTTTTCACATACCAGCTTTGTCTTTGTGCATAGCCGGGTTACGACACCCTTCACTTGACGAAAGGGGGTGACAGGTCTGTCTTTAAAAAATGTTTCTCGTCTTGGCGCTGTTGTTTCGCTGAGGAGATGGATTCAGCGTAACCTGTCCCTTATCTGGTTTAAGTGGGTCGTTTAATTTTCCTCGGCAGGATGCTTTAGATTGGGGCATGTCGTCAGAAGTCTGTGAAACATGGGCGTGTGCCAGTTAATCGAGTATTCTACCTGAATAGATTTTCCGTTAGTATCTGTCAATTATCTTTCGTGGCAAAAATCCATCGTGGGAAATGGACACGCCGCTTCTTAGTACTTCCCCCCTCCCTTTTTTTCTAGAAATCAACGTCATCATATGTTTTGGTGACTAGTACTTGTATTCCGCAACGCTTCCTGTTGTTTATCTTTTTTGTCTGTTCCTGTCTGGGCGACAATAGTCCGGTAATACAAGGTATGGTTCAGGATGCTGATCCGCATTGTTTTGGGTATTACTGACAGGAAGTTTTGTGCATACCTTAGAACACAGGTAACTGTCCTAACTCAGAATAGTAATAGCACAGATATGGGCAAACATTCGCACACTCAAACAGCTGACTCGATTAATAAATCATTAAATGACATCACTTATTTGCATTGAACAAGTAGTACTTGTCTCCCAATGCTCTGTACATAACTTGTTTTAAAAATGGAATCAAATGCTTTTACATAAATTTAATTGGAAATTCATTGTGAGAAAGTGGTTGTGAAAAATCAGCTTGACCACTCATTGGCACTACGCTGATTATAGGTTAGGCGCTTGCAGGGATTTTGTGGGCCGTCAGAAATTTGACACGCAGTGAATGGATGGTGGTAGACTATTGGGTCCATAAGACTGCTGGAATTGTCATGGTAATTATACTGGACACTGGCCCTGGAGCAGGGCACCTAACTGGGGTATAAGGTCAGAGGTCAGTGGTCAAGCATTTCCAAAAGTGTTACAGTATTTAATACTTTATGAACCAAGTCAGGTTGGTTAAAAACTTTTGAAGAACACAAACAAAAATGTAGATTTGAGAGATGATTATTTCTAGGAAGTTAGCATGTTCTGAATATGTGGGTCAGTATTTAATTGAATGAAAGTGCTTGGAAGTGTGAAAAACAGTAATTGTGATCCAAAAAACCTGTTTAGCTCTTGTCTTGTAACAGATAGCTTTTGGCTAGAGGTGTCAGGCTTGTGCGATCGTTAACATCTGGCCTTAACGACTAGTTTTCAGCCGGTTAACGCGTGTGAGATGTTGGACAATTTTTGGAGGGTATACGTCTCTGTGATATCCTGCTTGGTATGCAGCAGATGTCCCCTGCATACAGGGGAACTGTGTGGGTGTGCATATTGCTCCAAAAGAAATCTGATAAACAGAGGGGAGAAAATATTTCCTTTGTGACTTGGTCGAAAATTTGATTGTGTCCTCCCCCCACCGAGTGATGGCTGCCTGGCACAGATTTATTGAGGTGCCTGTTTTCAATTAAACATATCTGTGCTGCAGCATGCTGAAGGAATAAAGACATCTGGGTTGGTATCAAACATCACTGACTAGTAGGAGTAGGGGAGGCCTTCTAATAAATTACAGTATTGGGTTTTCCCCCTATTGCAATTCAGGCCAGACAGGGGTATAAGTCAGCAGTACTAGTGGAAAAGGAGGGATTAGATTCAATTGAATCAATACATCTTTGCTATTCCATCTGTTGAAATATGGCTTTTACACAATTTTTTTTCTAACGCAATGTTTGGCTCAATGATAGAAGTGAATATCATTATGTACTAGTACTGATCAATGGATGCATAACCTCCCTATTTGCTATGGTTGTGCATCGCTTTATCTGCATCCGCAATTTCGATAAGGACATGTATTGAATATTCTGCTCCATTGCAAACCTACGTTGCTTGCAGTAGTCCTTTTGATATGAAAGAAGAATTCTGTGTCACGATTTTTGTATTTCACAGCACCAAGGGTATTTGCATATTGGTAATATGTTGGTGGTTGTTACAATTACCAGTGTGGGATGAGAAAGTGGTACTTTCAGGTTACCATGGTGATGAATAATGGTCTTTCAGGAGGCCTACAAAGGGGCTGGCTGATAAGTCGTGGCACAAGGAGCAGGGGTCTTTGTGTATTGACGTCTTAGTTTTGAGTCAGCTGGATGCTTTGTAACATGGCCTAGCATCCTCAATGTCATTGGCAGCCTGTAGGTTCAACTGTAGGTTGCAAACTTGTATCAAAACATAAATATTGAGTATGGCTTGAATCTTAAAGAAAAAATTGTTCTATTTAATGTAGAGTATGGCTTGAATCTTCAAGAAAAAAATTGTTCTATTGGAAACGATGATTAATACCAATTATTCTATCTACAGAACTCTGTACCAAGCCAGTGCTATTTACCTTTATCTGGTAATGCAATAAATTTTCATTTGAGCTTTTTAGCTATTGAATTTATTTCTGCTACGTAGCTTTGAAACTGAATGTGGTGCTTGGGAAGCCAATACTTAAAAGTTAATGATTTTTGGAGTCTGTGATGGATCTAGTGATATAGGTTGAATAATTGTTTTGCCAAAATGTTTTGAGATTTGAATTTTAAGATTTGTTGCTGCATCATTTGGTCTAGCTTTAATATATAATATCATACTCTGGGCACACCCATTTCTTGCGTGAAACATATCGACACAGTCACAGGACATAATCAATCATGCAATAATGATTTATAATCAATGCTATTTGCCATGATGCCATGATTATGTAATTTGACCACACCTAAAGTCATTACAATCAGGCTAGTCTTGTCAGAGATCATCACAAAATTTGAGCAGATTTGTTCCAAATCTTTTTCTTCCAGTCTTTATCTTAATCAAGCTGTAGGAAATGGTTTATATTTGAGTTTCATTGAGTTAGAATTGACATTTTATTATAGGTATGACAAAGTACATGATAAAATTGGTTGAATGTAAACCCTCAAAAACCCTGAGAATTTTTTTTAGGTATTCCAGAATCCCCCATATAATTCAAGACTGACGATGTATCAACTGTGAACACATAGATTTCATTAATCATATTCACACCTCTCATGTAAAAGAATAGACTAGGAAAACTATATATTTCTCACAACCTCAGCTTTCAAATAAAAGTAAAAAGAGCATTCTATGATCAATTTCAAGAGAGAAATGGTCATTGGAAGCATCCTATCTGTGATAGCCTACTAGTTTTAAGTATACTGTATACAGTTATAAATGAAACATTAAATGTATCGTCCTTGGGAGTCTCGAGTATCGTGCCGGTTGTATTGCACGCCGCCGCAATCAATATAGACGCCAAGCCGTCTGTCTTGAAAGGCCACACCCATCCAGCGATGGCATCCACGCTCTCTCCAAGGAACAGGAGCACTCAAGACGGAAGGAGGATTACGATATTACACACCGTGGAATTGAGCGATCAATTCCGACTGGCAGCTCTGCTTGGTTTTGGGGCCACGCCTAGGTTATAGATGGAGTCGTGCATTTTTAATGCGGGGTAAATCATTATATGGACATGTCATCACCTCAGTCAGACAGTGGTCACTTCAACATTACAGTGGTAGAAATCCTTTTTTTTTCCATATTCTGCAATATTGCAGAGTGTCAAAATTTGGTTCTGCAATTTGGAAATGCTTTCTGAAAATGCAAACTTAAATTCCGGATCTACAGCCATGCCATATACAAGATCAGTTCGAATTTGTGTGAAATTTCTGGGCGATACAGAGGCCTGGGCTCTGAAGTAGGGCGGTATGTTTATTACTGATAAACCAACATTCCTACAATCCTGAAGAAAGCACCAAATCTTTGACGAAGCTTGATAAGCAAATTTAGTTGACCTTCTGGATTATCTCAAATTTAATAGAACCGGAATATCAAAAACTTATAAAGCATAGAAACATGTCTATATTATCTAGCTCTGTTAAGACTGTTATAGTTTTGGAAAATGAAGTATTCAATTTAAATTAATGTGGTTTATGAAATGTAAACATATTAGTATAAGAAGGTATGGTGAATCGTTTTCTTTGATATATAGATCCAGGATGGCCAATCTCCATTGTGATAATGTTTCTAATTTTGTCTCAAAAGTAATCCGCAGAATGATTAATAATGATAACGTGTTATTCCAGACAGTCGTCTGACTAAAAACCTGAATATGAAAGCCCCCTACGGTTCGGATATGAAGGATGGAATAAATTGAAATGTTGTTCCTTTGTGTGTCGGTTTGTTCCCACGTGGACCTCTGTAGACAGTGATAATGTGTCCATGTTTAGCCCCAGGCAATGCCAGCTTTGATACACACAGTATGCAGCATCCTACCCCCTGATTAGCACGCAGTGGGACCAGGAAAATACCCAAGTATAACAGGATAGAGTACAGAGTTGGATCCGTGGTGTGATAGGAGATTGCATATTTGCATCACCTTGCGATAAGCGAAATGAAAGTTTAAGATGGACGGGGAAACATTTGTCATAATTACAATATTGCAAATTGTCAGCAGTTATCCTAGGGTGTAATTTCTGGTCTTTGTCTGCTCCCCTGCGCCATCTGTGGTGCCTACGAGGTGATGATACCCCAGTTTCCTTGCCTGGGGCCACCCTCCCCCCTTCTATCCAATTTCAAAATGTGCTATAATTTAAAGCAGATCAATGAATCGCTTTGCTGTGTGTCGTTGTTGCCAAACTGTATCAAACCCTGCCATAAACACAGTCTCTGAATATCCCTCCTCTTTATTATAAAACCATTAGGAGAGCCTCT